TATATATATATATATATATATATATATATATTGTCTCTGTTTCTCTCTGTGTATCTCTCTCTCTCTCTCTCTCTCTCACTCTCTCTCTCTCTCTCTCTCTCTCTCTCTCTCTCTCTCTCTCTCTCTCTCTCTCTCTCTCTCTCTCTCTCTCTCTCTCTCTCTCTCTCTTTCGTAAATATAAATCATTTGTAAACTAGAAGAAAAACGGGGAAGAGACAAAGGGGAGACTGCAGCAGTAATTTGAATTCTTTGTTCAAATCAAAAGGAGAAGGAGAGGGGAAGGAAGTTATGCATTATGCGGGTAGGAATAATATATGAACAGTTTTATGAACAAGACTGTAAAGGATATGAAGACGATTCATTAAAATGTTAATTAATTAGCAATTATGCATGTTAAAAGTTTATGTATTTTACAAAAATAATTCAAACAATAGTTTCCCTGAAAGTGGATGAATTATACAATATGTATAACCTGAGAGTATACTCCTGCTGAGGGTGGTGGAGGAGGGTGTTCACCCCGGCGCTCTGGCTCTGTCATCTATCATCTATATTACTGCCATCTGCTCGCAGAAATAAGCTGATGAATCATTTTGTCAGCATTTCGGCAATTTTGATTCGATTGAGTCTGTCCCTGCTGCTGTTATCTATTAAGGAGTCTGCTTCTGCCTGTATTATCTATTAGTCTGCTCCTTCCGATTTAATATTTAAGGTCTGCTCCTGCTGATGTTATCTATCCAACCCGTCCTCCTAATAGAACGTCACATTTTGACGTATACTCTACTTAAGTCCAAAAACTGCCGTACTAGAAAATGGAAGCGGCTCGCGAAATTGATATATTGTCCCGTTTTCTGTTTTGGGTCCTCTGGTAGGTTAGGATAAGGCAGATTAGTACGACAGTTTCCTGACGTTGATAACGCAGGCGAGAACGGGCTGATCTATCATGGAGTCTGCTGCTACCCAGGGGGAGCCGGTCGGCCGAGCGGACAGCACGCTGGACTTGTGATCCTGTGGTCCTGGGTTCGATCCCAGGCGCCGGCGAGAAACAATGGGCAAAGTTTCTTTCACCCTATGCCCCTGTTACCTAGCAGTAAAATAGGTACCTGCGTGTTAGTCAGCTGTCACGGGCTGCTTCCTGGGGGTGGAGGCCTGGTCGAGGACCGGGCCTCGGGGACACTAAAAAAAAAAGCCCCGAAATTATCTCAAGATAACCTCAAGATAACCCACTTCATCATTTGATCTGCTCCAGGAGCTGTTATATATTATGGGGCACTGCTCTAATTATCTGCAGCTTATCATCTATCAAAAGGAAATTCGATATAAAGGTAACCAAAAAAAATCGTAAATACTATTAGGCCATCTGAAGGTTGGATGACTTGCAGCCTTCCTGCAGGTATCAATGATTAAAATAAGTATTTATAATATCTTAAGTACCTAGGATCTAGTGATCTTCAGGTGGTCTTGTGGGAGAGTACCATCTTGAGGTTATCTTGAGATGATTTCGGGGCTTTTTAGTGTCCCCGCGGCCCGGTCCTCGACCAGGCCTCCACCCCCAGGAAGCAGCCCGTGACAGCTGACTAACACCCAGGTACCTATTTTACTGCTAGGTAACAGGGGCATAGGGTGAAAGAAACTTTGCGCAATGTTTCTCGCCGGCGCCTGGGATCGAACCCAGGACCACAGGATCACAAGTCCAGCGTGCTGTCCGCTCGGCCGACCGGTTCCTAGTCATACACTCCACACGGAAAGGAAATATTGCATTTTGTAACACATAATAAGTTCAGAGAATGAATGAGAAGGACAGAGTTCTCCAGATGACTTACGAGAATGTCCGGGTGACGACGTCCTCTTTCCATCGACCGTCGCATCAAACCCAAAGGTGTTTAGCGGAGATGTGGTTTTATAAGGATTAGTGTGTAATATTGACCTCGGTCTATGTAACGAGGGACCCGTCAGATAGACGCGAGACAGGTTGGGCTCAGATCTGGCATGACGACCCAAGGAGCCGGTCGGCCGAGCGGACAGCACGCGGGACTTGTGATCCTGTGGTCCTGGGTTCGATCCTAGGCGCCGGCGAGAAACATTGGGCAAAGTTTCTTTCACCCTATGCCCCTGTTACCTAGCAGTAAAATAGGTACCTGGGTGTTAGTCAACTGTCACGGGCTGCTTCCTGGGGGTGGAGGCCTGGTCGAGGACCGGGCCGCGGGGACACTAAAAGCCCCGAAATCATCTCAAGATAACCTCAAGATAACGACCCGTCTGCAAAACAAATTAACTACGTACGTTAAGCATATTAATAAAATCCCCAGGAAAATGACCCGACCATTGAAGTCATGGTTAACATTTGCTTCAGATTTCAATAGAATGGGTGTAAAAATGTCCCCGGGATTGTAAAGCGAGCGTGTGAATAGTGCCAGCCATCACAGTTTCCTTTAACCTTCATTTAAACATGTTATTTCTTTTATGTTTTGGAATAATCTGATTTCAGTGTCTATAGAAAGAATATAATATTATCAAGTGACTGAAACGAGATTTTATTTTATTATAAATTTAATACATTTCTTGATTTAAACCCCAAAAAAAATGAACATACTATTAATCTGAAGCCTCAACACTCATACTAGAGGCCCCCCCACCACCATCATTATACTAGAGGCCCCACCACCACCATCATTATACTAGAGGCCCCACCACCACCATCATTATACTAGAGGCCCCACCACCACCATCATTATACTAGAGGCCCCACCACCACCATCATTATACTAGAGGCCCCACCACCACCATCATTATACTAGAGGCCCCACCACCACCATCATTATACTAGAGGCCCCACCACCACCATCATTATACTAGAGGCCCCACCACCACCATCATTATACTAGAGGCCCCACCACCACCATCATCATACTAGAGGCTCCACCACCACCATCATTATACTAGAGGCCCCACCACCACCATCATTATACTAGAGGCCCCACCACCACCATCATTATACTAGAGGCCCCACCACCACCATCATTATACTAGAGGCCCCACCACCACCATCATTATACTAGAGGCCCCACCACCACCATCATTATACTAGAGGCACCACCACCACCATCATTATACTAGAGGCCCCACCACCACCATCATTATACTAGAGGCCCCACCAACACCATCATTATACTAGAGGCCCCACCACCACCATCATTATACTAGAGGCCCCACCACCACCATCATTATACTAGAGGCCCCACCACCATCATTATACTAGAGGCCCCACCACCACCATCATTATACTAGAGGCCCCACCACCATCATTATACTAGAGGCCCCACCATCACCATCATTATACTAGAGGTCCCACCACCACCATCATTATACTAGAGACCCCACCACCACCATCATTATACTAGAGGCCCCACCACCACCATCATTATACTAGAGGCCCCACCACCACCATCATTATACTAGAGGCCCCACCACCACCATCATTATACTAGAGGACCCACCACCACCATTATACTAGAGGCCCCACCACCACCATCATTATACTAGAGGCCCCACCACCACCATCATTATACTAGAGGCCCCCCCACCACCATCATTATACTAGAGGCCCCACCACCACCATCATTATACTAGAGGCCCCACCACCACCATCATTATACTAGAGGCCCCACCACCACCATCATTATACTAGAGGCCCCACCACCACCATCATTATACTAGAGGCCCCACCACCACCATCATTATACTAGAGGCCCCACCACCACCATCATTATACTAGAGGCCCCACCACCACCATCATTATACTAGAGGCCCCACCACCACCATCATTATACTAGAGGCCCCACCACCACCATCATTATACTAGAGGCCCCACCACCACCATCATTATACTAGAGGCCCCACCACCACCATCATTATACTAGAGGCCCCACCACCACCATCATTATACTAGAGGCCCCACCACCACCATCATTATACTTGAGTCCCCACCACCACCATCATTATACTAGAGGCCCCACCACCACCATCATTATACTAGAGACCCCACCACCACCATCATTATACTAGAGGCCCCACCAACACCATCATTATACTAGAGGCCCCACCACCACCATCATTATACTAGAGGCCCCACCACCATCATTATACTAGAGGCCCCACCACCACCATCATTATACTAGAGGCCC